GAAAACACAACTTAGTAAATGCACTTCCCGTAGCATACAGCGATCTTAATGACTTGTCCGATTGAGGTCATATTCACATAATATATTTATTTTGCAAACAACAATTCAAAACGAAAAAAGCAACTTCTTAGTCCTTAGAAAAACATTAGTATTTTGATTCTTCATAATTTATTAACTTTTTCATCAGGTGACGTAATCTATACATATTAATAATGTTTGTAATAGAAAAATAACTCTTTTTATTAGGCAAAGGGGATTTTTTGCATTCCATTAAGACATGATGACCGTAGTAGCCTACGATGGTTAACGCTCGCTGTAAATATCACAGTACGCAAGTAACCAGGGTTCGATCCCCGCCGGCACTAATGAAATTGTTAATTGCAAGTTCGCCAACATGAATTGGGGCAACGCGGCGGACGCTTTTTGCTCTAAAACCTTCTCAGAAATGAGGGGAGGCCTGTGCCCAGCAATGGGACGGATATAGGAACTTTAAGACATAATTAACCATATTTAAAATGTTTGTCTGTCTGTCCGGGCCGATTGTAATAAAACTTCAAGAACAGAAAACAATGGCGGCGAGAGTGACCTGGGCTAGGATATATTTTATGCGAAAAACTTGAAGATTCTTTTGTCGATAATCTAAACATTGATAAAGTAAATGAATAATGTGTAAATAAATAAACCGAAGGATGTGTTAACAGCCGTATAACCCGTCGATATAATACCTAGTAAAATATTTTGCCATTGCCAAGCGCAGAGTTGTAAAGATATGTCCATAAATATGGGTACGAGCATACACTCCAACATAATGTCGACGCTGCAATTTGCCTTCTATATACGCATAATAAAATACTGTTACAGTACGAAAGATTTTAATAAACGTCCCTGTACAGTGCGGTCGTGTTTAATTTACACCAATATACAACATTCGAATCTAGGGTCCAACATGGGCCCTAATAATATGAGTACTTTTTTAATAGAATAAGGGTGACAAACGGGCACACAGTTCATCTGATGGTAAGTGGATGCTGTGGTCCATAGACATCTACATTTTTCCTTGATTAAGAATCAGAATGCAGAACTGTTGTCAGCCTTGAATACTATGATGGTATGCTTAGTTTCAAGTAAAAATGGGCTCTTGTTCTTTACACTCACCATACGAAACACAGCACCATTAAGCTGCTATTCTCTGTGAGAACGTTGTCCTTTCCTGGTCGAGCCGACTCATTTCATTCGCGATACAACAAGCCAATCGCTATTTATAGGCCTAGCAAGTAAGCATAATGGTTTTTATTGAACAATGGATATCTGCGCTTATCAAATCGGGGGTACTTTCCATAATTGACAAAACAAAATACTGAACTCAGTTAACTTAATTTGGAGGTACTAAACTTTATACTACAATTATAGTAATTAGTAGGTAATTAAGAGAACCGTGTTCCGTATTGAAGAAAAAAATATGCATTTCATAGTATGTATGTAAAAGCGTTCTTTAACATAAAGGAACCCCTTAAGCGTTAAAAACTGGAGTACCGAGTCATTATGCCGCGTCAGTATTCGCATTTGTGGGTTGTGCAAATGAACTAGTTCTGTAGGAGCGAAAAAACTGGACATAAGAACTAGATCAACGGATATTTTATTTGCCTACAATTTTACGATCAGAAATAATAACTATTTGCTTACATTTCAACCAGTTGAATTTGTTAAAATAAAAAGCTTATACAGCATTGATTTATATATTACACATTATTGTACTCAATGTTATACGGATACTATAATATATATATTTTCACACAATCAGTATTTGCTGGTGTCATAAATAATTTCCTACTTGATTCATCATCGTCATCATTACAGCACATCACAAGTCTACTGCTAAACATGGCCTCCCCTCAGGAATACCACAATGTATGGGCCTGAGCCTATTGCGCACTGATTGGTTGAAGCAAAAGATATAGTACACTAGCTGGCTAGGCAGACGTTGTTCTGCCATATCCAACGACCCTTTGCCATATAAAAGTATCATTAGATTCGTAAATCATACATCATCGAGGGTTATTTATTGCCATAAAAACTCTCTCATAAAATAATACTAGTTTTTACGGAATTTATCGCGTATATTTAACTTTTTAATTACCCGACGTTTCGAGAGCTTTACAGCACCCATGGTCACGGGAAGGACTGAGATGTTCAACGTCCAGCTGTCATAGTTAAGTTCATACTGTGTAGATCGGAACAAAAGTTAAATTTTAATCTATGGTAACCGCGGTTAACTATGACAGCTGGACGTTGAACATCTCAGTCCTTCCCGTGACCATGGGTGCTGTAAAGCTCTCGAAACGTCGGGTAATTAAAAAGTTAAATATACGCGATAAATTCCGTAAAAACTAGTATTATTTCAATGTGTAGTGTTCGCGTAAATATAAGAAATCTCTCATAAAATCTTATCTCTCAAGTTGAACCAAACTGCACACAGTGTGCAATATTATATTGAAATCTGTTCAGTAGCTTGGGAGTTTATCGCGGACAAACAATCTGACACGTAATTTTTATATATAAAGATTTCAAAATGGTAATAAATCAAAGCCATTAATTCTAATTTTCATGAAAAAGTACAGAATTATAGCTACAGATTAATTATATAGTCATTATAAAGTGAAGTAACCATCTAAGTCTTCCGAAATAACAACGCATTTGTAGTCTTTTTTATTCAAAATAAGTAGGAGGTGTCAACGGGAAGCGTTGCCACTTTAGTGATTTTCTCACTAGATTTAGTGAATTTTTTGGAGTTAGGGATATTCTGAAAAAAAAATAATTAAAAAGTTATTTGAGGACTTTTAGTGATATTTATCAAATATTAACGAATTTAGAAAATATATATAATTAAAAACCCTCTTTACCAGTCGGTGAATTCCCCAGTTTGTCAAAACAGCACTACCTATCGTTTTACTACTACCTAACGTAGTAATTAGACGTCTTTGTTACGTTATGCTAACCTACTTTGGGGATTTACCGACTAACAATGAGAAACTAACATATTATATGTAAAGTTTCTTTCAATGTGTGCTGAATACCGTTGCTTGTATTTAGTCTTGCTATACTCGTTGGCAATCCGGCAAAGAAACTGTGACCAGGATACTGTCTCGATTTTATATGTTATGTTTTTTTTGTAATTTCACAATTAAAATAGAATTTTTATTGACCTTGAGATTTGATTTTAAATAATTTGGTAAATTCTAGGATTTTTTTAGTTAAACATATCCCAAAATCTGGGTAAATTTCAGACCATAACTAGTGGCAAATTTTTCTGTAAGGTGACTGAAGTAGTCACACTATTAGGTGGACTGTGAGTTCGTACGTAACTTCAATTTTATAAAAAGCATATTAATATATCTGCAATTAATATTACTTTAAAATCAATTTCTGATGAAAAATTTCAAAATAAAGCATTAATATTCAAGTTCAAACAATTGCGCTATTATGTATCTATATCATATTACAAACATATTATTTCGTTTATTACTAAGTTATTTATATTTATTTAGTTGTTTTAAACAAATTAAGATGTTTGAATCAGCGTATTTTCAATTAATTTAACTGTGGTGTCAGATAGACAAAAACGTGGTAGAGCCACGCTGCAGCTATGAGTGTAGCACGAATGGGTCGGCTCGACTGAGGTAGGACCACGCTCTCACAGAATACCAACGTAAAATAGCAGCTTAATGCTGCTGTGTTTCGTATGGTGAGTGTAGAGAACCGGAGACCTGTTGTACTGGAATGGAGGCATTCCATCTTAGTCTTCAGGGGCGACAACACATCTGCATTTTGATTCTTCATCGAGGTTAAATGAAGGTGTCTATGGGCCTAAGCATCCACTTTCCATCAGGTGGACTGTGTTCTCGGAAACTTCTCAATTGGAAAACCTTAACGGTAACATAAGAATGCGATAATTTGAGCCGGGCAGCTTCTTCCGTCATTACATCTGTTTAAAGTATTCCAAGTTTTCTCAAGACAATTTCCTACATCTCATAAGATTTCGTAAAATTAACATAACATTTCTGGGTTTTATTCGATTCGATTCCAGGTTTAAATATGTTCCGTGAGTGTTGACAGCTTGTGAGTAATTTTTTTTATTATAACTTACAAATGGAAAAACAATAGGTCAGTTATTTATTGTGCTCGAGTACATCTGTTATTTTATTTAGTATCAGCGTAAAATATTTTTTTTATGTACAGTACCTTATCTTGGCTACCATCTAATTACTCTTAACGATTTTAAGCAAATACATTCATTCCATAAAGCTTTCAGTTCTTATGAGTTATTAGTTATTACAGTAAATATTTAAAAAAAAGTTTCCGACTATTTCCTCGAACCGCTGTAAATTAACGCGAAACTCCTCAAGATCGTGTACAGATAACAACGCAACGGTGCAGATAACATGATCCCAGCCCAAACAACTCATGAAAATGTACACGTGACCTTAATTTATGATTAACAGGGTTTAAACTTGTTAAATAAAACCGAGAGATAAGATTGAATTGGGAGAAATATTTACACTTTATAATGTACGATGTTAACTATCGAGGTTGTGTTCGAGGCCGAATTTCCGGAGTTTCTTTATACTTGAACGTATTGTGGATATTGTAGAGCTGTAACCGGCCAGCGGTCGTCTATGGCATCACGATGGGTCGATAAGTTTCTGCGGCGTTTTCGCCATTTGCCGTACACGTGTACGGGATGCCTATAGGACCTGTGAGCCATACGCTCCAGCACCATTGTTTCAGGACTTTAATTTGCTCCAAGGTCGCACTCACTAAGGCGTGGGCAGCAACGTATCGCTACAGTAGCGCTACTTATCGATACTGTTAGTAATACAACGATTTCAAACACCAAACGAAGAATTAATTGCCGATCGAAATTGTCAAAATAGAAATCTGTGCCGATACCGGCAGGTATTAACGTTTGTAAGCATGGGCATGTAACGTAGAATTTTAAGGACCTTTGAGGAGCGGCAGTTGGACCATGAGACTCTCTTTGTCGGCGTTGGGCGGCTGCGGACGCTCGGGCGAGACGGCCGCGGGGGGCGGTGGGGAGCGCGGCTCGGGCGGCGACGGTGCCTTCTGCGGCGGCCCCTGGCCCTCCATGGCAGCGCCGGTGAGTGCGAAGCGGAACGCCCGGGCCACGTCCGACACGCTCTCGGAGCGCTTGTTGGCCTGGCTCGCGACGAGGTCGAGGCCCGAGTGGAACGACGGCGACTTGGGGATACCGAGTGGCGAGACGGCGCGGCGCGGTTTGGCCTCAGCGGCGGCGAACATCGCGCGCGCGGCCGGCCCGGCGTGGACCATCGCAAGCGGCGGCCGGCAGCGGCATCCGAACGGGAGCCGGCGGCGCCGGGACCGGAGCGAGCTGCGGGGGCGGCCGGACTGCCACGCGCACCCGCCCGACACCATGCGCGCGCACTTCTTACACCCCCCCCCTCACTTCGCACCCCCCCCCCCCCGTCGCCGCACCTTCGCTCTGCGACGCCACAGCCCGTAACACGCAACCGCTCTATACAACCTCCCGTAGGGTTGTTCCCGATTTACATACACTTATTACGTCACGTAACAAAATAAATTTAGAATCATGTAACAATTTTACCCATACGTCGCTCGTAAGTTTAAATTTACCGTACCGTCGTTTGCAACTTTGCAAGTACAATGTAGACGAAATTAGAATTGTTTTAATTTGCTATTGCCAACCCTGATTGACGTTCTTGAAATCGTGTTGATGCGAGTGTTCGAATGTCTACTACCACATATTGTCCTATGGGTATCGTAAGAGGCGACAGAGGGGAAACTGAAACGAGATATGGGCAGCAGCATCTTCCTGATAACGACTTAAAATTGTAGAAGAATGCGGTTGCCAACCCGCATGCCAAACGTGGCAACTATGGCGACTTATGAGGTAATTTACTTGGGAGGCTCATGTTCAGCAGGGAACTTTTATAGGCTGTCATAAATGGAATTTAAAGTCACTAAATGCGAGGAAGCAATGAGATTAAGGGAGAAAATTATAGATATAAGGAAAAAGTCTTCTAAGATCCTTACAATAGGTAATGTTCATAGACGTTGACTGATCTAAAAAGTTTATTAGTATCCATTTGTCTCATTGCTTGTCCAAACTTGAGAAATCAAAAAAAAAAACAAATAATCCGTCTATGCATTACCGGCGCCAAGATTTTCCGAGAATAGCGCGAGGAACTTCGCAGTTTGTTTGGGTTCAAGGGGTGACGCAGCCCTCGTACGTACGGAGAGGAGACCGTATTTAACCAGACCTTCCCCTTCATTACACAATCGATCGCCTTAATGGACCTTAAATTGTGCAACTGACTTCCGTGACTTCCGACTATTGTCTCACACACAACTCCTTTTGTCGTTGAAACAATTCTGTATGCCTTAACTCTTAATAAGTTATAGGTTCGTTGCTCATAATATTATAACATTTACACTGTATGTCCAGCGATGATATTATATAATATACCTTCTTCTTTATCAGCACATAAAAATGACGCCAATTTGGACATGGGTCTGTATACATATAGTGACAATATAATATGGATAGTAAAGTATAGTAAAAACTTCAACATTTACTTTCCTTAAAATCTTAAACGCCTAAACATTATGGAAAAGCTCAGAAGAGAAATTCATATTTATGTTACTGGCCATTATATATATAACACATCGTTAACAATTTTTAAAGAAATAATCATATTATAATAAGATAAGAAAAACCGGATTTTAGAATATTTAATAAACAATGGTATTATTTATAAAAATATGATAATAATATTAATATGACCATGGTTTTGATTTATTTAGCATTTGGAATCCCTGGCGATGTCGTAGTTTCGATTTAAACCAATAAAAATTATGATTTCTTATTATTCGTTATCAATAAAAATTGTCAAACTATTTTAGTGTCAAATCTGCATAATTCTCGCATAATATGCATACATTAAAATTAAATTATATTAAAAAGAAGTAAACATTAACAAAACTCATTTTTCACGTGCCGAAAGCTTCGTAGGAATTATAAATTTAGGACAATGAAAATGAGAATTTTTAACAGCGCTAAAAAAGTATTTTTATAAGATAACAAAATAATCGTGGCCGAATTAAAATTAAAGACCTCGGCGCACGTGTCAGTCTTAAAATAACGGTCCGTACCTGCCACCACGCTGCGTAAGTAACCACAGGGTGGAGTTCATATCTCGCATCTATCTATAGGACTTAGGGTCGGCAGTTTCAGATGGATTTTCCGCCATCAGTCATCGTTCGGAAAACAACAAATTGCACCACATGCAGTTGAAGATGTCATTTGGAGATAATGTTGCTATATACTGTTGCACCTTCATTACTTAAGTATAGAGGAAAATTATGATTTTAGAAGCGTGTTATTCATACCTTTAATATAAATATTGCTATATTAACTTTAAAACCCAAGTTATTTATATACGAACTGACTTTTCAATAAAATTTACTTTAATTACATTACCATGTTAAAAATTCCACCGATGTCTAATGATTGCAAGGTATTGTTGAAAATAATATGATAAGGATGCTTGAAATTATATCTTTATTGCTTTTATATTAAAGCTTATTTTAAACTGTGAAGATTGGTGACGTAGTTCACAATCTCTTTGAAATATTTCATGCCGTAGAGCACCGATAGCACTTTACTTTCATAGAAGTAAGGGTGACAAAATAGTACATATAGGTAAATCGACCAGATGGTAAGTGAATGCCTTCTTATTTTTTAAAAAACGTTACCCCTACACTAAGATGTTCTCCTATATCGTGGAGGCAGTTTACAAACATAAGGAGAAACATCAACAAACATCCAGAACCGGAACAATTACTTGTAGGCCATACAAATACTTGTTCCGTGCGGAATTCGAACCCGCGGCCCTCAACGGTATACATTGCTAAGCTACTGCGCCACGGAGCCGTCAAATGAATGTTTCGGCTCATAGATACCTATATCAACTATCAATTAAAATGCTTATGCGTTGTCACCTCTATGGTAAGTCCACTCCATCCATTCATTACAGCATGAAAGTCCACAGCTGAATACGGGTCAATCTCATGGTTTGTCTCATGGATGGATTTTGCCATAGTTGTTTATTATTTTGAGTTGTTATCCGGATACTGCTGCCCATATCCTGTTACATTTTCGCTCTCTCGCTACTTACAGACAACCGCGGGACGATATGGGTTGTTACACCAACACTACACGGTTAAAATGATATGGTAATTAATAAGTACATACGAGTACCATCTATGTACGACCCACGGCTGAGCGCGGACATTTCTGAGAGATTCTGAGGAGCACTGAGGGATATTCAGCCCGTTGCGCTGCTTCAGTGCTTTTTGAAGGATTTCACATATACTCGAAGTATTTTATTCCTCAATCATGCAGGTTTCCTTATTACATCTGCCTTCACTACCAAGCACTTGTAAATCGGGACTTAAAATTGCGATTAACAATTTCATCGGTGCCGGCGGGATCGATCCCGGGCAAACTGTACAGTGAGAAATGTAAGCGTGGTGTGGTATTATGTGACAGAGTGGTCGTTCCTCCGTCGGGCCGAGTATTTACATTTACAGCCATTCGACTGTAGCATCAGTGTGGCTCTACCATTATGATTGTACTATTGACCACAATAATCACAGTTGCGGGGGGCCTGAATCTTAACACGCCTAGCGCGTCCATAAACTATAACGATTTCCTCTTGTGAATTACTTTTTCTCAATAAATCAGCACTAGTGTATTAGCACGTTCTCGCTACGCATAACGTTCAAGGAATTTCATTTCTGTGTGTACAAATGACATAAATAATGTGAACACGACCTTGTAACGCCTCTACCTAAAGAATCGAATCGTGGATGTGAAGGCTTATCTTATCGTGGCGCCATTATGAAAATCAAAGTCGGACAGTATTGTTTTTTTATGGAGAACATATATAAACGAGCAAATAATTGAAGTGTTACTAATAAAAAAAAAATAATTACTTCGCAACCTTCCGCTAACTAACTAAATACAATGATGTGTCTTACCTGGATTGAAGAGCACCTCCCGCCCTCCCTCAATTGCGCTTAGCAGTCCGTCGCCGTAGAGTCTACATCACCTGAGGATTCCTCGTGTAGAGGCGAAACACGTGTCGTCACACGCACCATCGCCGACAATCGTCGATGGTGTGTCTTCCTGGAATAGTGGTGTTGGAAGTAGTGGTGCCGGGAGTAGTGGTGTTGGGAATAGTGGTGCTGGGACTAGTGGTGACGGAGTTAGTGCATGCAATTGAGGGAGGGCGGGAGGTGCCCTTCAATCCAGGTAAGACACATCATTGTATTTAGTTAGCAGAAGGTTGCGAAGTAATTAAGTTTTTTTTTATTATAATGGATTTCCGCAAAGTAACGCCTGATTCTATAATTTATCTGAAGTGTTACTGATTGACTCCTTGTCAGTACCTGATTATTGTCGCGGGTCTTAGAATAAAATCCCACACCTAGTGTACATTATAAAAACACAATATTAGTATTGGTGTGACGTTTTACATGTCTTTAACGCAAGATCGAAGTCATGTTATCGCTTTAGACTTCCATCAGGAACGGGTAGCTTTTCTTTTAAATGAAAATACTAGTACAGCTTTTAATTTTCTCGTATCCTCCCCACTCCAAGTTGTGTTAGAAACGGTTCAACACAGTAGTAGAATGACGGATTCAGCTTTATGTGATTTAGTACTCTATGATTACAGGCTGTGCGGTATTACATATTAGTGTCCTCAAGGGTGAAATCGCATACGTACGCAAGTTGACTAAAGATGACCACGGATGGCAGTAACCACTTAACATCAGGGACTGTAAGATCGTTTGTCACTTCACTTTAAAAAAAATCTTATTTGCCACTCGTGTGTATTTTAATCTTTTAACCTTTTTTTATATAGAATAGGGTGACAAATGAGCTCACAGTCCACCTGATGGTAAGTGGGTGTTGTGGCCTATAGATATCTACGTTTATCCATCAATCAAAATGCAGATACATTCTCATCTCTGAAGACTAAGATGGAATGCCTCATTTCCAGTAAAAATGGTCTCCGGTTCTCTACACTCACCATATATAACACACCAGCATTGAGCTGCTATTTTACTTATGAAAACGTTAGCCTTTTAATGGCGCAATTTTTCTTGAGCCACGGTGACAAAGTTCTTTAAGGTAGTGTCACAGATGTCGCCATGTAGACTAGCGATTTTAATTATTATCACACTTATAAGTGTCTGCAGAAAAGTCTAAGCATATCATTAGACGTACAAATATATCTCACTGAAGTCTGAAACAATATTATTCCGCAACCAAAAGTTTTGACAGGGGTAATATGACGATATGGTAGTGCAAGTGGCACGGAGAATGA